TACCTAACGGAATTAAGTTCAAACTATGTTACAAAAAAAGAGAAACGGAGAAGAATATAACAGTGTGTAAAAGAACTTCAAGATTCAGATGCAAATGATTAAATCTTCAAACTTTTACGTATAAGTTAACATGCTTTACTGGGATAAATGAGAGGTGTTCAAGAGTGTAGTCACACAGGACAAGCTAAAACTTCATTTAGTAAGCAAAACATTCAATCAATAGTGAATAACGCGAGATTTTTACCAGAGTAGTGAAGTGCTCAGGTAGCACGAGATTTAGGGAATCCCATCGCTTCAAGTTCCTCGAAAATGCTTTTGTCGACATGTGGAACAACCATCTCTACAGAAAGAGATAACGACCATAATAGATAACGTTGATGTCACATTCAGAAACTGACGCAACAGATATGAAATAGCATTTACAATGTACCTTCAGCAGCATCTCCACTTCCACTGCTACCATCGGGGTTGTCTATCTCCATAGCAGGCTTAGGAGCTCCCAAGCTGATAGGTTTTACCGTCTCCGTTGTCTTAATCCACAAAGTCAGTATACCCTGTTCTTTTTCCTTCACAACGTATAACAGCAAGAAAAGAAATCAGAAATAACAAACTCGTATATAGTTGCAGAAGCCAAAGCTCCACATGTAATCAAAACAATGAAGTCTAGTAAAAGCGTCAAATCACATTAGTTCAACCAGATAATAAAAACGATTACAGCTGCAGATAGCTCAAAGAGAATTAAGATCTGGAAACAAAAAGTTCTCAACTTTGTGTTCTGATTACGACCAAATCGGTGGTAAACCATGGAAAAGAAGTCAAAACCAATCAACTCCAAAAGAGAACGTAAATATTGTTTGGACGATTAACCACACTGATTGGCTGCCCTGGATCGGAGAAGAAGCAGGGGGCTTCCCATTTGGTTTCGCAGTCGCCGCGGCGGTCTTCTTTTTGATCTTGCGGTCGCCAGTGGAAGCCGGAACGCGAGATGAATCGGAGAGGAGGATGAGATCGAGGAAATGAGGGTTGGCGTCGAAAGGTTTCGCGTCTGGGACAGATTCATTCTGATGACGTGGTAAAATAGAGTCTTCTGATTGGTTGAATATTTTGGCCTATGTGGCATAGCTGAGAGGCTCTTATATCCCCCTTTTAATAGTAATAGATAGTATTTATATTTGTATTAAACGATTTATCAATTTGAAAATAACCTTAATTAAGTTAATATTCGTTGTTTAAGTTTCATTAGATAGGCTTTTATATATGGTTTTTTGTAAGTTTGAGTTTTGTTCATAAATGATGTGGCATTTTTATCTACGGCGTCATCAACTGTGGGAATCCATTCGCCGGAGTCTGGAATCGGTNTATAGTAGTTATTAAAATGTAAGAGAAATTATATATTCATTTAATAATAACGAAAATAATTAATTTTTGTTGTTTTATTTTATTTTATCTCACATACAAATTTTTTGAAAATATATATTAGGAAATATGTGCAATGATTTAACTTTTTGAGCTCCTAATCTATATTATTCAACCTTCATTAAGCCATCCACGTATGCACCCGCGTGGAATTCACTTTTTTTTTTGTTTTTTTTTTGTCTGTTCGTTTTTGGATTTATTTTTTATTATTTTTAGGTTGAGCTATATTATAATAGGATAGTTTTAAGGTTTTTTAAGCCATCCGCGTAGGCAACCACGTGAGACTTGTTTTTTTTTGTTTTTTGTTTTATTATTCGTTTTGGATTCATTTTTAACTATTTTGGGTTTGAACTTATTAAGGTTTAGAGTTTATACAACTATTTTGATCTTTAAAACAATAAGCCCAAAAAAAAACATAAGAACCTTATAAACAAAAAGCCCAAAAAAAACATAAGAATCTTATAAACAAAAAGCCCATATGATAATAACCTAAATAAAAAAAAATCAAAAATACATGATAGCTGCGTGGTTTGAACCCACAATCTTGCATATTTAATTAGACACCTTATACCACTTGGTTAAAGTGTATGCATGAATGAGAGTAGTGGGAATTGAACCCATGTCCTTGGAGACCAAACATGGGGTCTTAGACCACTTGGCTAAACTGATATTCTTTGTTTATAGCCATTTTAAAAAAATTATCTATTTTAATATAAAAATGTGGGACCCACAATCTGCCTATGTGGACACCTTAAAGAGCCTTTAAACTGAATCATTATAATATAGATTTTTTTTATCGTCTCTAATTTGCTTAATATTATATATATCGTTCTTTCAGGGACCGAAACCTTAAAATGATCTTTATAAACCCTTTTTCAAGATATCCATTTCATTATTTTCTTACGATCTACAAAGAAGAAGAAGAACTGTGAAATATTTCTGTATATTATTTAAGACTTTTGACAAAATAAATTATAATGCGAAGATGGCATAACCGTCTTTATGAGCACTCTCATACACATATTTATATCGTCTAGCTATTTTAAACTATCTTACCAAACGCCATCAATTCCTCTCTAGCTATTTTCATATCGTTCTGTTAGGGATTTGCTTAAATAGAGTATATCGTTCTGTTAGGGATTTGCCCGTTCATCCAGTTTCTGTCTTTTTTTTCTATTTTCTCCTTTAGCGAACAGTTGTTTCTTTTCTTTCCTTTCCTTATTTACATTTTTTGAAAAATTATACAGACATTTTTTTTTCCGT